CAACGGCCAGGGCTGCTGGCAGGCGGCCCGGCTGAGTGGTAAAGGGCAGGTGGGCTCAGGTAATACTTGGAAGCGACTCAGCCTTTCTCAGCCTCGGCGCCCTCCTCAATAAAATGCAGATGCCAGTGGAAGATGCCCCCTAAGTTTGCTGGGAGAATTAAGTCAAATGGAGTCTTGTGAAGCAGTTAGCACAGGGCTTGGCCCATGGCACGCGCTGAATTAATTTGAGATCTGCCTATTACTGTTAAAGGTCACTTTGAAATAAAACGAAAAAACTGGGATTCTCTGATTCTGTCATAAATGTCTATATCCTTTAGCTCAGGTGATGAAGCTATTTAAGTCAGGGCATTCTTTTTAGGAATAATTGTTTTGTATTTGTATTTATCTATTTTTGCAATAGGATCTTGCTCTGTTGCTGAGGCTGGGGTGCAGTGGTGCAATCACAGCTCACTGCAGCCTCCATCTCCTGGCTGGGGCGATCCTTCCACCTCAGCCTCCTGAGTAGCTGAGACCACAGCTGTGTGCTACCATACCTGTCTAATTTTTTTAAATTTTAGTAAAGACAAGGCTTCCCCACATTGCCTGGGCTGGGCTGGTCCTGAACTCCTGAGCTCAAGCAATCCTCCAGCCTCATCTCCCAAAGTGTTGGGATCACATGCGTGAGCCACCATGCCCAGCCAGAGGTGTTGTTGATTACTCAGCACAGTACGCATGGCACTAAAAATTTCATAAATACGAGAGGCAGAAGCAGGAGGAAAGTCAGCAGTCTTGAACTCTGACGTTCACAGCCTAAATGAGAACACAGCCCATGGCTGCACTAGAATTATAAGTAAGCAACATGTCTTACTGGGCCATCACCACTTTCCCGCAAGCTTCAGAAGAGTGACTTGTTCTCTGTCACTAGCTTTCTGAGATCTCCATGCTGTTCCGCATTTTGCATAGCCTGTGCTCTGCAGAGCAGAGCAACTGTGTAGACAAAACTGGAGTATGGGGACTAGCAGTGTGGCCCTGCAGGGAAAGGGTGGGCTACTGGTCCAGGATCCTGGGGAGAGCTTCCTCCGAACCCTGAACACTGGCGGACGCTCTAGTCGCACTTCCACCCTTACCCCCAAGCTGCTGGCTGGTTTTAAAATAACTGGCACACATCATGACCGGTTCCTGGGATTACGGTCAGGAGGTATGGGGTAGGGCTTAGACTCTATCCTGAACCCAGACTCAGTGGTCTGGGACTAGCTCTCGCTGTACAAGATCACACTTGCCGGGCACTGACCACTCCTAGCTGTTATCTACACCACTCAGCAAGAGCAGTTTTATCTGTTTGGTGCCTTCTGTAAACTTCTTGAAGGTAACAGCTGTGTCTTAAGCCTCTTCAGCATTCTGCTGTGTTGGGCAGATGGCCAGGTTCAATCAAAGCTTTTCAAATAAAAATTTCTGACAAAATGTTTCAAGATCTTTAGGTTCATCTTGAAAAAGCTGTAATGTACCCAGTACATGAGAACAAGAGGCCTGGGTCATGACTTTCAGGCACATATTCCTAGCGAAATGTCTTCTATCTTGCTCAGCGCTCCCCAGCTTGGCACACACACAAAATGTGACAAAAATGTGAATTTAAAGGCTTTTCATGCACCACAAGAGCCAGGGCATGGCAAGGTGGGACCCTGTCTTCTGAGATCCCCCACCCAGCACACAGAGGCTGGCAGGCTGGCAATGACAGATCACAAGACCGGGTGACAGGGCAGCACATTAAATTTCTTAATGCTCCACATTAAATTTTCTAATCAAAATATTCATGAGATGCTATGGTGACCTGATGTGGTCGGTTGAATGGTGGCTCCCAAAAGCTATGTCCATGTCCTGACCCCTGGAAACTGTGAATGAGTTTATTTGGAAAAAGGACCACTGTAGATATAATAAAGACCCTTAAGATGAAGAAGTCATCCTGGGTCACCCGGAGGACAAGTGTCTTTAGAAAAGACAGAAGAGGGGAAGGCCATGTGAAGCCACGGCAGGGACTGGCAGGCTGCAGCCACAAGCCAAGGATGGCCTGAGGCAAGCAGGGTCCTCCCATAGAGTTCTTCAGGGGAGCTCGGCCCTAATAATACATTGATTTGATTTTGAACTTCTGCCTTCCGAAATTAAGAAAGAATAAATTTCTGCTGGTTTTTTTTTTTTTTGAGACGGAGTTTTGCTTTTGTTGCCCAAGCTGGACTGCAATGGCATGATCTCGGCTCACCACAACCCCCGCCTCTCGGGTGCAAGTGATTTTCCTGCATTGGCCTCCTGAGTAACTGGGATTATAGTTACTCGGCCTCCCAAAGTGCTGAGATTACAGGCATGAATCACCACACCCGGCCAATTTCTGCTGTTTGAAGTCTGCAGTTAGTGGTGCTTTGCTGCTGCAGCCATGGGAAATATCAAATTGTACTTGGTCTTCCCATTTATACAGCAGGTTCTTTCTGTGTTTCTCACTACTCGCATCTCCACCCATAGTTTCCTTCTAGTAAAAGGATCATCCATAAACATTTAGGAGGTTTAGAACTACATATTACATATTACAGTAAAATGGTACCATTTAGATGCCACTGAACTGGTGTTCCTGATTCGAAAGCTCTGTCCCTTTGCGCCTCACCAATCCGTATGACTAAACTAGTAGCCCCATCACATTCTGCATCCTGCTTTTTTGTTGTTGCTGAAGATGTTTACCATATCAACAGAAGAGCCCACCCATGGCATGTCACTATAAGTTATTAACCGAGGTCTGTGTTCAGGCTTCTGTCTGGCCTGGCTACAGATGGACACCCTTGCTCACGTTTACGTGCCTGCATGTCTGTCTGTGTGACAGTGCGGTCAGGGGTACGTGCACTGTGGTCTCAACACGTGTCATCTGAGGAAGCCCCACCAATCTGCCTCCTCTGTTTTCCTCATCGCTGGCCCATGAAGCAGGAGTGTCTTTTAGACGCTTCTATCCTATCATATGGCGCAGTCTCTTTGACAAAGCCAGCGTTCTTCCAAACAAAGGCCTAGTCATGGCTTAGACTTCCATCAACAACTTGGAACCTTGACTACTGCACTTCTGACCTTTCCTGAGCACCTCCCCATTTGACCCAATGTAAACAGCTCCAGGTAAATTACGCTCCTTTGATCCTTGAGATGTTCTAAGAATGGCAGGTACTACAGCAGCCCCTCCTGATGGAGGCCGTGGTGGTTCCCCGCCCGCCCCCGTCACCCCGCTTCCATCAGTCACCTCCCTGCCTTCTTCACAATGCAGCTGAGTGAAAATATAAGTGGCTGTGTTAGAACATGAGTCAAACCGAGTCACTTCCTTGCTCTCAACTCCAGTGGCATCCTAGCTCTTATACAGTAAAATCCAAAGCCCTTGACATGACCTACAAAGACACATGATTTGGACTGTGGCTGTCTGCAACCTGAAGTCTCACCAACACGCACTGCACTCCAGCCTGGAGCCCCTGAAGTTCCACAGATGATGAGGAAGGGACGAGGGCCAGGTGACCAGGGGCCCAGTGTCCTGGGGAGTTACAGAGGGTCTGGGTGGGGGGTGGCCATGGGACCTGGAGGGCACTTTCTGCTTCCAGCTGCTCCCATGAAGGCTCAGGCCACATGCATGCACTGTCCTTCTCCTTCCCAAGGCTCCGGCTGTACCAGTCAATTGTTGAGACACTGGCTCCACCCTTCTTCTCTAATACCAACCTGCTGGCTGTGAGGAGACTTTGGGGTTCAAGCAACTGACTGAGGCAACTGCCAGCTTCAAAGTTCCAGGAGCCTTTTTTTTTTTTTTTTTTTTT